ACCCCCGGCCCCTCCCCCACCTCTCCCCAAAAATTTCTCCGGGAATTTTTTCCGGGTGTGCCGGGGTTCACCGGTAGCCCTGGTAACCGTAGTAGTTCCTGTAGTACCGGTCCCTGTCCTGGTAGTAGTTCTGCCACTGCGGAGGGAAGGGGTCAACCCGCTAGAACCGGTCTGAACCGGTTAGAACCGGCTTAAACCGGTTAGAGCCGGCCCGAACCGGTTAGAACCGGCTTAAACCGCTTTGAACGACTGGGTTAAACCCCTCAGAACCGGCCCAAACCGGTTAGAACCGGCTTAAACCGGTTAGAGCCGGCCTAAACCGGTTAGAACCGGCTTAAACCGCTTTGAACGACTGGGTTAAACCCCTCAGAACCGGCCTAAACCGGTTAGAACCGGCTTAAACCGCTTTGAACGACTGGGTTAAACCCCTCAGAACCGGTTAGAACCGGTTAGAACCGGATTAAACCGCTTCGAACAACTGGGTTAAACTGGTTATGGTTAAACCCCTCAGAACCGGATTAAACCGGTTAGAGCCGGCCCAAACCGGTTAGAACCGGCTTAAACCACTTTTAACGACTGGGTTAAACCCCTCAGAACCGGCCCAAACCAGTTAGAACCGGCTTAAACCGCTTTGAACAACTGGGTTAAACTGGATAAACCCCTCACAACTGGCCCAAACCGGTTAGAACTGGATTGAACCCCTTTAGAACCAGCTTAAAACGGTTAGAACTGGCTTAAACCGCTTTGAACAACTGGGTTAAACCCCTCAGAACCGGTTAGAACCGGCTTAAACCGGTTAGAGCCGGCCCAAACCGGTTAGAACCGGATTAAACCGCTTTGAACAACTGGGTTAGACCCCTCAGAACCGGCCCAAACCGGTTAGAACTGGATTAAACCCCTTAGAACCAGCTTAAAACGGTTAGAACCGGCTTAAACCGCTTTGAACAACTGGGTTAAACTGGTTAAACCCCTTAGAACCGGCCCAAACCGGTTAGAACCGGATTAAACCGCTTTGAACAAGTGGGTTAAACTGCTTAAACCCCTCACAACTGGCCCAAACCGGTTAGAACTGGATTGAACCCCTTAGAACCAGCTTAAAACGGTTAGAACCGGCTTAAACCGGTTTGAACAACTGGGTTAAGCTGGTTAAACCCCTCAGAACCGGCCAAAACTGGTTTGAACCGGATTAAACCCGTTAGAACCGGCTTAAACCGGTTTGAACTGGCTTAAACTGGTTAAACCCGTTAGAACCGGCCTGAACTGGCTTAAACTGGGTTAAACTGATGAGAATTGGTTAAACCGGTTGGAACTGGCTTAAACCGGTTAGAACTGGATTCAACCGGTTTGAACTGGATTAAACTGGCTTAAACCCATTAGAACAGGCTTCAACCGGTTTGAACTGGGTTAAATCCCAGTTTAACCTCATAGTAACCCTGTAGTAACCCTGTAGTAACCCTGTAGTAAGTGGTGATCCCAGTGTGACCCCAGTGTAAATCCCAGGTTAACCCTGTAGTAACCCCGTAGTAAGCCTGTAGTACTGCTGGCAGTAGTCGCGGGATCTGCTGTAGTGACCCCAGTGTAACCCCGGTGTAACTCCCAGTTTAACCCTGGTGTAACCCCAGTGTAACCCCATAGTAACACTGTAGTAACCCCGTAGTAAGCCTGTAGTACTGCCGGCAGTAGTCGCGGGATCTGTTGTAGTGACCCCGGTGTAACCCCGGTGTAACTCCCAGTTTAACCCCAATTTAACCCCATAGTAACCCCGTAGTAACCCTGTAGTAGCCCCTCACCTCGCGGTTGTACTGCCGGTAGTAGTCGCGGTATCTGTTGTAGTGACCCCGGTGTAACCCCGGTGTAACCCCGGTGTAAACCCCCGTTTAACCCCATAGTAACCCCATAGTAACGCTGTAGTAGCCCCTCTCCTCGCGGTTGTACTGCTGGTAGTAGTCGCGGTATCTGTTGTAGTGACCCCGGTGTAACCCCGGTGTAACTCCCAGTTTAACTCTGGTGTAACTCCCAGTTTAACCCCAGTTTAACCCCAATTTAACCCCATAGTAACGCTGTAGTAACCCCGTAGTAGCCCCTCACCTCGCGGTTGTACTGCCGGTAGTAGTCGCGGTATCTGTTGTAGTGACCCCGGTGTAACCCCGGTGTAACTCCGGTGTAACCCCAGTTTAACCCCATAGTAACCCCATAGTAACGCTGTAGTAACGCTGTAGTAGCCCCTCACCTCGCGGTTGTACTGCCGGTAGTAGTCGCGGTATCTGTTGTAGTCGTAGTCGCGGCCGTAGAACCGATCGTCGTAGCCCCGGTAGCGCTCGTAGAAGTTCCGGTAGCCCTGGGGGCAAGAACGGGGGTCAGAACCGGAACAGACCAGTACAGACCAGTATGGACTGGTATGGACCGGTATGGACCAGTACAGACCAGTACAAACCAGTACGGACCAGTATGGACCAGTATAAACCAGCATGGACCAGTATGGACCAGTACGGACCAGTACAAACCAGTACAAACCGGTTTGGACCGGTATGGACCAGTACGGACCAGTACGGACCAGTATAAACCAGTATGGACCAGTACGGACCAGTACGGACCGGTACAAACCAGTATGGACCAGTTTGGACCAGTACGGACCAGTATGGACCAGTATGGACCAGTATGGACCAGTATGGACCAATATAAATCAGTATGGACCAGTACGGACCAGTACGGACCAATATGGACCAGTATGGACCAGTTTGGACCAGTTTGGACCAGTACAAACCAGGATGGACCAGTATGAACCAGTATGGACCAGTACAGACCAGTACAAACTGGTACAAACCAACACAGCCCGGTACAGCCCAGTTCAGCCCAGTTCAAACCAGTTCAAACCAGTTCAAACCGGTTCAAACCAGTTCAGCCCAGTTCAGCCCAGTTCAAACCAGTTCAAACCAGTTCAAACCAGTTCAAACCAGTTCAAACCGGTTCAAACCAGTTCAGGCAGGAGCAGCAGGGGGAAAGGGAAGCGGGAAAAGCCCCGGAAGGGTCGGGAACGCCCCCAAATTCCCGGGAAACGCCCCAGAAAGCCCCGGAATTCCCCTGGAATTGCCCCGGAATTCCCCTGGAATTCCCCTGGAATTGCCCCGGAAGTTGCTGGAATTCCCCAGAATTCTCCGGAAGTGCCCTGGCAATGCCCAGGAATTTCCCGGAAATGCCTGGAATTCCCCGGAACTCCCCGGGAAATGCCTGGAATTCCCCGGGAAATGCCTGGAATTCCCCGGAATTCCCCGGGAAATGCCTGGAATTCTCCTGGAAGTGCCCAGAATTGCCCCAGAAGCAGCCGGAGTTCTCCGGAATTGTCCCAGAAATTCCCCGGAAGTGCCTTGGAATTCCCTGGAATTGCCCCGGAAGTGCCCAGAATTCCCAGGAATTTCCCGGATGCGTCCCAGAAATGCCCCGGAAGTGCCCAGAATTCCCAGGAATTGCCCCGGAATTGCCCTGAAGTGCCTGGAACTGCCAGAATTGCCCGGAAGTGCCCCGGAATTCCCATGAATTGCCCAGGAATTGCCCCGGAAGTGCCCGGAATTGCCCGGAAGTGCCCAGAATTCCCCAGAATTTCCCCAGAAGT